CCCTAAATCCCAAACCCGAACCCCTAAGCCAATTGCAAACCCCACTTAGTCCATCTTTCTACGGCAGGCTTGCAGTGCACAAGGACCAAGCATTATGGCGCAGACCTTGGAGTGTGAGAGGGAAGGCCGAAGGTTGGAGGGCCTGAACCAAACAAGTTTTAGGTTTAGGGGTTTGGGTTTGGGGTTTAGGGTTTAAGGGTTTGGGTTAGGGTTTGGGGTTGGGGTTTAGGGTTTAGGGGTTTGGGTTAGGGTTTGGGGTTGGGGTTTAAGGTTTGGGGTTTGGGTTAGGGTTTAAGGGCTTGGGTTAGGGTTTGGGGTTTGGGGTTTAGGGTGTCAGGTTTAGGGTTCAGGGTTTAGGGTTTGGGGTTTAGGGTTTGGGTTTAGGGTTTTGGGACAGACTGCCTCTTCCTCCGTATGAACCAGGCGTGCTCTAAACCCTAAACCCGAAGCCCGCAGCCCTCAGCCTCAACCCTAAACCCTAAAACCTTTGAACCCCTAAACCCTTAAACCCTAAACCCCTAAACCCTAAACCGTGAACCCTTAAACCCCTAAACCCCCAACAACCCTAAACCCTCATCCCTAACGCCCCAATGCCCCAATGCCCCAAGCCGGGCCTCCAACAACTGGGGAAGCAAGTGGCATAACAGGCACCTGATGTAGGGCCCTTGAGCATTACAATAGAGCTTTGGGTATAAATTACAATAAGGAACCCCCAACATAGTATAAGTAGTTATTTAGGCCCCTGTATAGTGCGCACAGCGACCGCTGTGGAGCGTAGGTGTAGGGCTTTAAAGGCTAGGAGTCTAGGATTTGCTGGTTTGGGCGAGTGATCCTGACCCTCAACGCTACACCGTAAACCGGCATTTGCCAATTCAGGGCTCATGATGCAATCTTCATGGCTTTTTGTTGGCTCAGTTGCATTCATTCTTGGCCTGATTCCTCTTCTTTTCGTTTGCGTAGGTGATGATGCGGATACGGCTCGCTTTGACTCTGAACCCTAATCCCGGAGCCCTCGTACAGAAACCTCCAAAAACTCGAAAGCCTGCGTCGACCGTAAATCCGACAGTTGTGTGTTTAGACGGTTTAGCGTTTAAGGTTTAAGGCTTCGGGGTTAGGGGAACCACAACCTCTGAACCTTCAACCCTAAACCGCAAGCCCGCAACCTCCAATTCTGAATCCCATCCCTAGAACTGTAAACCATACACGTCAGGTTTAAGGTTTAGGGTTTGGGGGAGTCAAGGAACCACGATGCACGACCAGGGATGCAGCATCGCTATTGACTCGAAACCGCCACTTCTCCGGGCAACGCCGATCAGCAGCCGCTCTTTGGCCCATGATGTGTATCTCCAGGCCTGCACATCCGGGACGCAACGCTTTATCACAGACGACACATCCGACTCCGGTCCCCGCCTTTTTCAGCAGCTGCTGGGGTGGCGGTCGCCTTTTACCCGTACTGCTCAGGTCCGCATCCTTCAGCGGTCGTGTGCTCTCTTGCCTTGAACGAAGGCAGGTCTCCCGATGATAGCTCATGGGCCAGGGTGAACGTCGCGACCGCGGTCGGCTTTACCGCCTCCAGGATGCGGAGGTCCCCCGGCTTCGCCTGCCAAAGCCAGACGAGCCTTGACATCTTCATCATCTTTCGTGCCTGACATACTCTTACTCACACTTCCTCCGCAAACAGGGGCCGAGCAACGCTCAGTAGCTCCAGGTAGGTCAAGGCGGGCCACGAAGGAATGTCTGGCAAGACGAAGTCTTCAGACCACACCCAGGAAGCGTACACGGCTGTTCAGAACAGCGAGGCCTTTAAGACTTGTGGTATGCAAAGAAATTGAAGCGACAGTCCATCATGGCGTCCTCGCGATCACTACTTCAGGTGTGGACTTGTGCTGAACTCGACCGGAGAACCTTGGCGACGGCGAACCACAGTGCCACGGCGAGGTCGCTGGTGTAGGACAGCCAGGGCGAGTCCACGGCACGGAAAGGTAAATGCTAAGCCGAGCTTCTGCCGATATACCACGTTTGTTAACGCCGTGCCTTCGGGCCGATGTGCTCGGTGACCGTCACATCACTGCGGCGAAAAACTATCATGTGGACGCGTCCGAGGACGCCGCATGCAGCTCGGGCCGGTGGTCCAGCAGACACAGCACCTGGCGCTTGACCATGCATTGTGCCCAAGCCACGTCCCCTCTCACCTCAGTTGCGAGTGGGGCTGTACCTGTACCAGAACGAACGGACATGAGTTCATCTAGACTAAGCAGCCAACCGTTTATTGCGTCGGCCGAAACGTCTGCGATCGACTTCACGGTACTCCTTGATCCAATACCTACGTGCTGGCATCTCGCGCAGCTCGCCACGGTTCATACAGAGAGCAAGTGCCTGAGACGTTGCAGGAAGAGCGCCCGCAGTGTGGTCTCGCGGATCTGTTCGAGAGCCTGGCCGTTTAAGTAGGGCCCCTGAAGTCCCGAGCTGCTTAGAACACGCCATGCGGAGCCTCGTAGTGAAGGTCGATCACATCTTTCTCCGGTCCAAGCTCCTCTAGGTGCTCACGAATCCACTCCGCATAGCGTGCTCTCGCTCTTGCCTGGCCGAGCAAGACAAGACTCTATAACGGAAACGGACGATTGGGAGCTTCGGCCTTCTCTTCCTCCATCGAGAACAGGGGCAGCAAGCGTCTGGTCGCATCAGAGTAGAAGTATAGCAGCTGGAGCAGAAAGCCGAGGGACGAACGTGCTGACGAAGAGATCATGAGCCGTGTGCGCCCTCTTTGGCGTGTCTGGGTACCCAAACACTGAATTCCTAAACCCTAAACCCTAATAAACCCTAAACCCTAAACCCGAAGCCCTAAAACTCCAAG